AGAGGTGTATAAGAGACAGAAATACAGTAGTGTCTGGACAGGGCTAAAATTTGTTGCCTTAATTTTTAGAGACTGATGTTGTTACCTGGAAATTAAGTAAAATAAAAATAAAAAATAAAAAAAAGAAATCTGCTTGTGATGCCATTTCCATTTCCAGAGGGCAGCCTTTTACCATGAGCTGTCATAATATACAGTATATTTATTATTATGATACATTGTAAAATTGTATTGATTCTATAGACAGGAAAAACCAAGAAGGTTACAAAAAGTAAGAAGAAAGGGAAGAAGTCGGCACCAACCGAGGAGGCCGATGAGAACCTGATGCCGTGTCCAGCTCAATCGTTGCGTCGATCATCAAGGTAAGTAGCATACTAATTATTACTAAAATGTCAGCTGCCTCCTAAAGCCCTTTCCAGGCTATCAAATTTTATTTAACAAAAACATGCAACATGACTATATATGGCCATGATGACATCACATCATGACCATATCGTCGCTCACATCATGAACTAACACAATAAAAGTAGATTGTGTTAGTTCGTGAAATCACAGTAGCGCGTCAAAACGAGCATGTATTGGTTGTCAAGCAATTTTGTATTCTTTACCACACAAAAAGTCCTTAACGACAGCAGCGCGTATTTTGATGCGCTTTTTTGATTTCACGAACTAACACAATTGAATTTAATTGTGTTAGTTCGTGATGCGACGATATATAGGCACATCATGACTAAATATGGGCATACAACAGTTTCTTGCCAAAGAAAATTTGGTAGTGTTGACAGAGCTTTAGGGGATCACTTGCATGGTAGTAGTAGACCAACATACAAAAATACTATTTATAATATGTATTATTCTCCTGCACACGATTGTAGCAACACAGAAATTCGAGATATTCTCAAAGACCAACAATAACAGTTCTTTTCAGAACTATCTACGTGGTGTACTGCAAGCATTAATATATATTATTTTTGCCATGCAAACCTTCTAACAAAACTATATATATAAATATATTAATTTTCTATTTTTTTTGTAGATGGTATATATTTAAGTAAACAGTTTTTATTTTAAAAATATAAACAGTAATTAGATTATAAATCAGCTTTATGGGGCTGAATTTCTCACAATTATTACAATTTTTTATTTGCTTTCTAGTTCAAATATATTTCTAATTATAAAAAAAATATATAACAGTATATAATTCTTTGATTTCAGGAAAACAAGTTCGGCTGTCACACCAGCGCAGCAAATTCGTAGGAAACGCAACCTGCCCAGCAACTGTTGGAACACACCAGCGGTCACTCCGAAATTTGATCCAAGGTAAGAACAGATAATTTGGTTTTGTTTTTATGCTAATGCCTCCAAAACAATTAGCATTACTCAAGCACATTGACTGTTCCAGATAATTGTCAATCAAACTTGACTGACTAATCAGAATGTGTAATTAAATAGGTGGGGCCCAGATAATTGTCAGTCAAACTTGACTGACCAATCAGAATGTGTAATTAAATAGGTGGAGCCTAGATAATTGTCAGTCAAACTTGACTGACCAATCAGAATGTGTAATTAAATAGGTGGAGCCTAGATAATTGTCAATCAAGCTTGACTGACCAATCAGAATGTGTTACTAAATAGCGGAGCCAAGAATGTGCATGCATGTTCCACAGCCTCAATAGTGTACAACTGTACATTCTGGTGGCTGTTTTGTAGAAGGACCTTAGCAACAGTATTCAAGGGGCAGAGCTTATTTAAGCATTTTATTGAGAAACAGGGTCAGTCGGTCTGATATTTGGGTTCATGTCCATATCATTCACCTTCTATTAGGTACCCATTTATCGAGAGGTCCACTGATTAACACTCTTCCTGCCAAACACTGAGATATCTCTGCTCGTTAACGCAACTCCGTGAGATCTCCGTGTTTCAGGGTTTTTTTTACGGAATCTGATAGATGGGGATAATTACCGACATGTATTATTAATTTGAAAACTATATTCAGCCTGGACCATAAGTATTTCACTATTTGCTTGTTTACATTGAGCATAGCGGTATATGATGTACTTATACAAATTTGCGATTATCTCAGCTTTGTTGTGCGAAATTGTGTAAATCTCCAAAAGCGAGTCATTTCTATTTTACTGTTACGGGTCACATGTTGTGATTAGAATATTAAGTGTTTGGTACCATTACAAAGCTAAGATGTTTGTAGTTCTTGTAGTATTCATTACATGTCAATCTGATCACATACGCACTCTCAACGAGCTTCGGAAAAGTGTTAAAATTTGCGGTCTGGCGGTGGCTGATACTATTTTTTAAAACCTCTGGCAGTCAGATAAGATTAAGAAGTATAGTATTGAAATACATGCCATCTTGTTGGGATTCAATATTTTGACATTATGTCATCAACAGGAATGTCATCATTTTGTACCCATTTATACTCTGTGTAATTTAGTGGTAAATGTGATTTTTGGTAGTGGTGAATTGAAACAATGATACACCAAACTCGAAATGGAACAGCAGCTATAGAGTACTACGTAGTGATACTACTCCGTTGCTATAAGCGACCGAAAATGGGGTCAACTGTAATTATTAAGATGTTGTATCTTAATTTTTCTTAGTAAATTTTAATTGATGATAAAATATGTGGCAAAGACAAGCCAAACCAGTCACTGGTCGCAAACATCGATTTTTAGTTATTAATACATGGTTTAACAGTAAAATGAGAGCTATAAACTGGTCGAAGAATCATTTAAATCCGACATTTCCGTATGAAGTGTTCAAACATACAGCTGTTTAAAGAACACTTATTTCTGGCATTTCTCAGGCAGATACCATCATTAAATCGTTAAAAATTGATGTTTAAACATTGAAAAAGGGGAAAATAATAGCATAGCCTGATTTATAGATATAATATAAAAGTTAGTTTAGTGCCATAAAATAGATTTCAACAATTTTGACATTCCAGTATGTTTTGGCCATTATCTCTTAAACACGATTTGCAACAAGTGACTGGTTTAGCTTGTCTTTGCCACATACAGTATGTGTTCCATAATTAATATATGTGGGCTTTTGTGTTTTTAGTACAGTTGGATGGTAAATTATTACATTTTAAAATGCCTATTCCAGAAAGCGTAGTCTAAACTACTAGGATTATGAAGTCATTCAGGCGTAATGAACACTTTACCAACAAAGGGCGCCACCTGGTGTTGTGGCGACACAAGCATTGTACTCTATATACTGTATTTACTTATATCCACGTATAAATTGATTTTATGTTTAGATTACCTGTGACACCAGGAGCAAGGAAGGCACGGAAAGGGGAAAGGTTAATGTCGATGACAGGAAGTCCTGTAATACCAGCAGCTACCGATAATCGTTTGTCAAAGGACTTGAAAGAAAATGTAAGTAATTTAAAGAATGCATCTACTGTAAATCCAGTGTGTCACCGTGTTGCACGGCATTGAGTGCTAGACGCCACAACGCTGCGTGTTGATTATCTTTGGTAGTCTTAATGCAACGTCATTAAGAATGATTCCTTGCACGCCTGTCGTCCACAGGAATTGCGTTTGTCGTAGAATTGAGTCGGTCGACGACTGTCAGACGCAGCGAGTTCCTGGCTTAAGCCCCATTTACACTTGACACGATTATGACACGACAACAACACGATACAGGCACGCGCAGTGTTGAAGAATACAAACTACGCGATGATATGTCGTTGTCGTGTCGTAATCGTGTCTAGTGTAAATGTGGCTTTACAGTAATAAAAACAAACATGTTTGCTAAACCTTATTCACCACTTGTATTTTTTTTTTATTTAGTAAACAAATTATTATCAGCTTTTTCAATTTGGTTAAAAGTTTTTCCTTGTCCATTAACAGTTGTAAAAATATCCTGTAATCTTTGCCTATACTTTGCCCTTAAATGTCTGTCTGGGAAGTAAGGAATACGATAGCGAATCATCTGAAATTATTGATGTTTTTTATGTGTATATCTAGGACTTTTTTTAATGTTTAAGGTTTTTTGAATATTTTGTAGCATATTAAAAGTAAAACATTTAACACTAATATGAGAAGTTGTATGGTAAGGATTACTCAGTTAAAAAATGTTTAAAGCTGAAAGTGCAATGCACCCTCCAATACGAGAATTGCAAGACCCCTCTAGTTCGATACCACTTTTTCAAAGACCCAAATAACTATCTGTTCTCTTTTAACACAAAGCTAAGCATCTAATTGAAGACTGAACCACAGACCACCCCAAATTTTTGAAGTACTAAAGGTCTCAAATTGGAGGGCAAACTGTAGATTTTTTGTTCTGTGATTGGAAATGTCAGAAATTGGTTTTTGATAACAATTTTCTTGTGTTTTTCTTCTTTTTTTTTTAGATTTTAGCTGTTAATGATCATATTCAAAATCTCAACATCGAAGATGATGTAGCCAAAAGAAATATTCAAATGTTACAAGATAGCTTGGCGAAGATTTTACACTCATTTCCAACAGTCAAATGAAAATGTATCCACTGATTAAAGTCTAATTAGCTCAGTGCTAATTTTGTATACAGTACCTTACAGTATATTAATATTGCTACGTTGGTCTTTGTGCCATTACTTTATTATCATAGCATTTAAACAATGACAGTTTAATACATTATCTTAGTATAAGCTGGAAAAACATGTGACGTCATGTTAACAAAAAAAAATGTCGCTACAAATTCTACCATTGGCTTGGTTTGTCTTATAGTTAATAACTTACGTGAAGGTTAGGATGTCTCAATATTTTTTTTTCTGTATTAATTATAATTTAGCTTTTCATTTGATATTTAAGTTGTTAAAGATCATTAATCAAAGATGTGGATATATTTGTGGTGATTTTTATGAGAAAGAATATGTCGCCAGTGTACAGTAGTTTAAATGGATCGTCCTACTAAGCACTGCCTCTAAGATATTAGCTTTCGCAAATGCAGCACGGACGTACTCTGGGACTAAAAGCAATGAACTGTGACCATCTTTGATACGCGTCTGCGGTCTTATCATTCGCAGTTTCACAATTGAAGAACGAACGGTAGTCCGTGACGACGTTAACCTGACACGCGCCCTCTTTTTTAGGTATCCTAAAGGGCGCTTATTGGCTGCTTGGTATCCCTAAAGAGCACTGATTGGCTGCTTGAGCTAGTCGTTCGTGATTCTCCACGGACGATAAATTGGCCAAAAACAGTTCGTGATTTTGCCAAGAACGAGAAGCTGCAGGGGTCGTGCATGCGCAGATCGATTTTCGTGTCAGGCTACCGTAATTGAGTACGTCCGTCGTTGATGCGAAAGCTCACTTGCTAAAGAACCACAAACGGCAGCTGTGTGTTTTGACGGACATGCCGATGCCTGTGTTTCTGGCCTCTATCTATAGAATAGCACATTCTGATTGGTCTCTTGTTTGTTTGACACTCCCAAAATTAACTGAGGGGTTTGGGTATCATAATTATGTTGTATTAAAACATATGTTCCCATAGTGTACATTTGATATTATTATTAGGAATGTGCATTCAGCTATTGATGTAATGTTTTTTTAAAGGTACATGTAATTTTAGTTTATAAAATATATAGACAAAGTTTTCAACTGTGTCAACACAGCAGTCGGTATTAGGCCAGTACATTGGCGATGGGCTGACGAATCCCTCTCTACTCTGTGAGTGTTTGACCACGTGTTGACAATCTGACAATTGTGTGTGGCAATCTGATTGGATCGTCCTTAAAACGATCTGTTGTGTGTGGCGTTTTTCTCTGGAATTGTGTGCGGATGACCATCGGGCACATTGTGTGCCCAGCTTCCTGTTAATCCTGCAACTTGTAAATATGAAATAAATATAGTTTTAGCACAACCAACCAATATTATTCTACTGGACTTATTTTTTTTCTCTTTCTCCAGCAGTTATGCAAATTGCTCAGTAAATAATCATGGCTATAGGAAGCAGTCCAGCTGGTCTGGTTTCGACCAGACCGATATCGTTTGTATGCCAAAGTTGCCCTTTGACACATCGAGTTTCGGTTCTTTCCTCCATGTCTACACTGTATCAGCACACCCCCCCCCCCCCCCACACACACACATGGCATGGAAAGAGTATTTTAAAAGGATTATATGAAATTGAGTACCAAACCAAGCAAGTGAAAACAGAATTTAAAAATATTTTCAACTTAACTGGACTTTTCAAACAGCCCTTTCTAAAAGAAAATTATAGTTCATGGCAATTTTAGGAACTTTTTATTAATTTGCACAGACCTGACGTGTCTTCAAATTGATTGAAACTGTTTCAAAAGATAATGTACTGTGCAATCAGAACACACTTTACATTTCATTGTATACATTTTTTAAATACATTTTGCTCTCCAATTCGAGACTACTTTTGGGACTTGAAACTGGGATGGTCTCATGGTTCGGTGTCCTATCTGGTTCTTTAAAAAGTGGTCTCGATTAGAGAGGGTGCACTTCGTTGTACTGTATGTCGTAATATCCAGCATTTCGTATATGTATAGTTGTTAATTCTGTTGTATATTGCAATAGATGTATCATATTGTATTTATTAACCAAACAAAAAACATCTTACTTGGAGGAACAATTTATTTTTCTACCATTTCACTATTCACACAAAATTTTTGTTCCCATTTTAAGCATAGTAATTCTAACTTCTGCAGTCAACAATAGCATTGTCTGGGCCCACTCTAAAATAAGTTCTCTATTAATGCAATGGTTTTTGTGTGTAAACCTGAACTTCTAACAGGATGAGTAGAAATAGGATTAGAATTATCAGGGAGCTTTCGATTCACAACGGTAGAAAATGAGTACGGAGAGTTAACTGACCGTCACGGACGCCTTTCGTCCTCGTGAAAACTTATTGGATCACTGTACCCGCGCACGATGGAAGCTCGTACACAAACGCTCTCAAGTTCCCGGTGCGTCTCTTCCCGTCATAATTTTAGACCGAATCGAGTAAAGACCGTTCTGTAATTGAACGAGACGGTGGGTACTGAACTCATATACATGCGCAGATTAATATTTTGCTCCATTTACAGTCCTCCTCGGTCTACCGTACCGAATCGAAAGCTCACCATGAAAATTTTGACCACCCGGCAGTTATAGACGTGCAGCAATATCTTCTTGAAGTTGGAAAACACCATGACGATCTGGGGGAACAAACCATGGACCCTCCATGGGAAAGAAGTAGAGAACACAATTTTTACAGTCACAGATGTACCATTTTCGGGCATGTAGAGATACCTACTTTCAAAAATTAGCTCACCTCTGTCCCAAACCTAGTGGGGTTTAGGTGGGTGATCTGACGGACTGGTATTATTTAACTCTCTTCAGGGTAAAGAGACAGTACAGGTATTGCATTAAAAACCAAATACAGTATGTAATACGATAAATACATTAAAACGGTAAATCCTAAAAACATTAGAATACAGTAAAATACACCAATAAAGTAAAGGTGCCCACATTAAAATGCAAACTTTCTAAGTGTGTCAGGTGGTCAATATAACAAATTAAATTCGGCCCTATTACTGTAAATGATTATTATGCTATCACTACAAAATACTTAAAATAATTATATTTCATTCAAATGTTTACTTTGACAATTTTTAAACATCAACCCAGAGAGAATTTAAATAATTGAATTACATAAGTGAGCGTCAAATGGTTGTGCACTTGCAGAGCATATAACATTCGTCTCCATGCGCAATTATGATTTGGTCATTTTATAATATATATTATTCCAGGGGCGTACCGTGGGGGAGGGGGGGTGGTCGATGGGTGCGGTCGACCCCCCCTTTTAAAGAAAGTGCCCTTTAAATATGCTCGCTTCACTCACAAATAACGCACACGCGAATTCTGAAAGCTTCGCTAAATTGCTCCGAGTTCAGCTTGCCCCCTGCGCTTTCGTTTCGAACCCCCCTTAGATTTTTCACCGTACGCCCCTGTATTCCATTATATTTCGTGAACGCGGCTATGAAAAATCAGCGTCACTGTTGAATAACTCAATTTTACTTTGGCTGCGTGTCATCCACCCCACATTAAGAGACATTTTCACATTTGGTTAGTGTTTCATAAATAGTAGGCTAGTACCCTGTATTGTAATAGAGGACACACCTCTATTCGAAGTTTCCCCTTTAATATGTTACTGCAACCCGATACTCGCATAAATTTAAGAGTAGGCCTACATCACTGTAGACATCTAAACTGCCAACAATTAAATAATTTCATAGACTTATTTTATACAGCTCATGAATATTCATGATAAAACCCAAATTTTCAAAATCCGTTGTGAATTTATTGAATGGATTTCCTGTAATTAAATAGAATTCCACATATCAAACCAACACCAATAAATGGGATTCTTGGTCAATTTCTCTTTCTTTTCATTTCTGAAAATCATATAAATGGTGAATTCTGGCGTTGTAGGCAAATGATCAACACAGCTATACCATGGAGGAATAAGTGTAGATACAGTACTTGTTCTTTGTATTCTTATGTAATCCGGCTGAGGCTATCGGCACTGTCGCAGTGCGGAAAAAAAAAGCTGCTGTTTTCTATTGGCACTGCCGCAGTGCGAAAAAAAAATAACACAGAAATGTTTTGTTTTTTATGTATATAATGGTAATAGTATTTAATTAATTGTAATGTTAGTAGGCAGTAAGCCTATGCAGGCCTGCCTATATATGATTATGGATGACATATTTTCCTATTCGAGCACGATTATTTATTATTATTATTATTTTTATTATTATTTTATTATTTTTTTATTTTTATTTTGTATGGCCTACATATAATATTGCCTATATACATAAATTCATGTATTCATCTATCAAGCAAAGCATCAATTTCGACTAAACAGCAGCTGTTCGACTGTGGCAGTCCGATAGAAAAACAAGAGCTATTTTCGCACCTGCGTAATATAATGCTAATAAAAGCACTGTAGCAGTGCCAAAGCGGCACTACTAGTCCAGCAAACTTTGGTTGGTTGCATTTTTTTTTTCTATATTTTTTAAAAATTGGATATGATGTAGAGTAGACATAGATAAATCAAAAAAGTATGTGCAACATTTTTTTTTTCATACGTAAGGGGGGTTGCCAGCCGATTCAAAATGGCCGCCATTTTTTCCTAAAATTGTCACTAATATTGTAAATTTATGTAATTAAAATGCAGTATTCAATTGGAAATCCACTCATAACAATGACAGCAACAGTTAACTAAATATTGTACACATTTTTGAGCTATTTCAATTTAAAATGGCTGCCATTTTCCATTGTTTTAGCTTTTTAGAATACATATTAATATAATAATAACTGACCTGTACAAAAACTGTGATAGAGCTAGTTATATGCAATTGCCATATGCTGTTATTATTATTACCATAATAATATATATGGTATATATTTATATATGA